TTCCAACCCAAACCATTCCACAATCCCATGGGATCTCACCCGAGGCCACAGCTCAAGGGTGGACATGGCGGTGCCGGGTTGATGGCTGGAGATCCTTCCAACCCAAACCATTCCACAATCCCATGGGATCTCACCCGAGGCCACAGCTCAGGGGTGGACATGGCGGTGCCGGGTTGATGGCTGGAGATCCTTCCAACCCAAACCATTCCACAATCCCATGGGATCTCACCCGAGGCCACAGCTCAGGGGTGGACATGGCGGTGCCGGGTTGATGGTTGGACTGGATGGTCTTGGAGGTCCCTCCAACCCAGACCATTCCCTGATCCAGCAGAGTCTCACCTGGGAACACGGCTCAGGGGGGTGACGAGGGCTGTGCTGGGTTGATTGTTGAACTCAACCATCTTGGAGGTCCTTCCAACCTGACCTGTTCCATGATCCCGTGGGATCTCACCTGGGGACGTGGCTCAGGGGGGTGACGAGGGCAGTGCCAGGTTGATGGTTGGACTCAATGATCTTGGAGGTCCCTCCAACCCAAACCATTCCACGATCCCGTGGGATCTCACCTGGGGACGCGGCTCAAGGGTGGACACGGCGGTGCCGGGTTGATGGCTGGAGATCCTTCCAACCCAAACCATTCCACGATCCCGTGGGATCTCACCTGAGGACACGGCTCAGGGGTGGACATGGCGGTGCCGGGTTGATGGTTGGACTGGATGGTCTTGGAGGTCCCTCCAACCCAGACCATTCCATGATCCAATGGGATCTCACCCAAGGGCACGGCTCAGGGGTGGACATGGCGGTGCCGGGTTGATGGCTGGAGATCCTTCCAACCCAAACCATTCCACGATCCCATGGGATCTCACCCGGGGACACGGCTCAGGGGTGGGCATGGCGGTGCCGGGTTGATGGTTGGAGATCCTTCCAACCCAAACCATTCCACGATCCCGTGGGATCTCACCAGGGGACACGGCTCAAGGGTGGACATGGCAGTGCCGGGTTGATGGTTAAACTCAATGATCTTTGAGGTCCTTCCAACCCAAACCATTCCACGGTCCCGTGGGATCTCACCTGGTGACACGGCTCAGGGGTGGACACGGCGGTGCCGGGTTGATGTCTGGAGATCCTTCCAACCCAAACCATTCCACGATCCTGTGGGATCTCACCTGGGGACGCGGCTCAAGGGTGGACATGGCGGTGCCGGGTTGATGGTTGAACTCGATGATCTTTGAGGTCCTTCCAACCCGAACTGTTCCACGATCCCGTGGGATCTCACCTGGGGACGTGGCTCAGGGAGGTGACGAGGGCAGTGCTGGGTTGATGATTGAACTCAGTGATCTTTGAGGTCCTTCCAACCCAAACCATTCCACGGTCCCGTGGGATCTCACCTGGTGACACGGCTCAGGGGTGGACATGGCGGTGCCGGGTTGATGTCTGGAGATCCTTCCAACCCAAACCATTCCATGATCCCGTGGGATCTCACCTGGGGACACGGCTCAGGGGTGGACATGGCGGTGCCGGGTTGATGGCTGGAGATCCTTCCAACACAAACCATTCCACGATCCCGTGGGATCTCACCTGGGGACGCGGCTCAAGGGTGGACGTGGCGGTGCCGCGTTGATGGTTGGAGATCCTTCCAACCCAAACCATTCCATGATCCCGTGGGATCTCACCCGGGGCCACGGCTCAGGGGTGGACATGGCGGTGCCGGGTTGATGGTTGGACTCAATGATCTTTGAGGTCCCTCCAACCCGAACTGTTCCACGATCCCGTGGGATCTCACCCGGGGACGTGGCTCAGGGGGGTGATGAAGGCAGTGCCAGGTTGATGGTTGAACTCAATGATCTTTGAGGTCCCTCCAACCCAAACCATTCCACGGTCCCGTGGGATCTCACCTGGGGACGCGGCTCAAGGGTGGACATGGCGGTGCCGGGTTGATGTCTGGAGATCCTTCCAACCCAAACCATTCCACGATCCCGTGGGATCTCACCCCTGTTTCTCCCGCAGGTACGACCCCTACGAGTCCTACGACTC